CACACACACACACACACTCTCACACACACACACACAACTGAACCATCAGCTGCTCCTGACCTTATAGAGTGGACGGCGCACGTCGATCGGACAGTTCTGAATGACCTCGTCCACCACCTCAGAGATGGGCTGAGTGAAGTCCGGGTTAGCAAACTGAGAGGAAACAGAGTGAGAGACACTGCTGAGTGTGTGTGTGTGTGTCTGAGTGTGAGCGAGTGAGAGAGAGTGTGTGTGTGTGTGTGTGTGTGTGTGTGTGTGAGAGAGAGAGTGAGTGTGTCTGTTTTTGGGGAATAAACTCTCTCCACAGGGTTTCTGAAGAGGTTTAAATATTAAACTTTTGACTTTAAGTCCTCTAAAAATAAAATTAATACTGTTCATCTCTACAGAACAAGCCATGCCTTTCATGAATCTCAGATTCTTTTACTTTTAACAAGGACTTAATACTGCAAATCAGCAAAACAACGTTAAATACTATTTCAAAAGATACAATAATTTGAACTTGGTTTGTGTGCTAATATATCAGTACATAAAGATTAGTGTTTTTTTCTGTTTTTCTGTAGGGTGTGTGTGTGTGTGTGTGTGTGTGTGTGTGTGTGCCTGTCCAAACCTCAGGGTGGAAGAAGATCTCTGGTCCCAGGAAGCGCTCGTATCCCACGTCGATGGTGAACTCCTTCTTGCTGATGGCGTTGATGCCGGTGTACTGCTTGATCCATTTGGATCCGTCCGTATCGTACTTGTTAAACTCCTTCACCAGATCAGGACAGACGTAACTGAAGCGCTCCTGCAGCAGAGAGACAGAGACCTCAGAGACTGGAGGATGAGACACTCATGTGATCCATCACACACAGACACACTCACTCTCACACTCACACACTCTCTCTCTCTCACACACACACACACACACACACACACACACTCTCTCTCTCACACACACACACACACACTCGCGCTCTCTCACACACTCTCTCTCTCTCTCACACACACACACACTCTCGCTCACCTTGACGGCTTTGGCGGTCTCCAGCGACTGCTCCGGAGGGATGCCCACCTCTCGCTCTCTCAGCAGCTGCTGTGTGAAGTACGTGATGTCTCGGCCCGCGATGGGAATGTGTTTAATGCAGCTGCCGATCACGTAACCCTCCGCCTGTCAAACCAATCACAGCAGAGCGCTCACGGTCACTTTCTGTTCTTTGCTAATCTGCAGGGATGTGGCCGTGAGCATCCAAACATACCGAAGTGATGAGACACAACGGAAGAGCATCAGACATAACACAAAAATAGTTATCAAGTATTTGGTCTGAATATGAACAGCTGTTTGAAAACATGTAAATATAGTTTGACTCTCTTCTGCGTGTAAGTTTCTACATGCATGACATTCCATTACTGACTTAATCTTATAAATCATACAGTATGAGTTTTTTTGAGAATGTAAAAATGCAGAGTTTCCTGTAGGTGTAGGGTTGGTGTAAGGGGACAGAAAATACGGTTTGTACAGTAGAAAAAAACATTACGCCTATGGAGAATCCCTACAAGGATAACAAACCAGACGTGTGTGTGTGAGTGAGAGTGTCGATGACGGTTCCCGTGAGCGTCCTCTCACCGACCTGTCGAGACGTCCATGATGCCGCCAGAGCCAGAACAGCCTGACAAACACACAGATCAGCCAAACACATCAGCACTGAGAGCCAGTGTGTGTGTGTGTTTGTTATTGAATGTATGTGTGTGTGTGTGTGTGTGTACCTGCACAGCGATGTACAGCCCCGGCACGTTAAAGGACTCAAACATGATCTCGGCCGTGTACTCGCGGTTCTCCGGTGTGTTTAAAGGAGGTTCGGTCTGCAGCAGAGAAACAAACACACGTCACACAGGAAGTGATGCGTAGAGCACAGTAAAATCTCAACCCAGCACTTTAGGTTTCAGCTGAAGGAGAGACGTTAAACACAATCACAATGAAGATGAGTAGCGATGAAGGTTTCCTCACCAGCAGGAAGTAATGGTCCTCGGGTTCAGCTCTCAGGTATTTGAAGATCACCTGCTCCATAAACCTCTCCATCAGATCCCAGTCCTCCACGATCCCGTGCCGAATGGGCCACTGCGGAGACAGACACGCTCAGAGATCACGGACACGCCATCTGATGATGATGAAGGACGAGCAAGAACCCTTCATCATCACAGACCGCAGGTAATCAGAGAGAGTCAGACTGAATAAAGGAATAGTTCATCCAAACATGAAAATGTGCTGGAAATCTCCTCACTCTCAGGTCATCTGAGATCAGGATGAGTTTGTTTCTTCATCAGGTTTGTAGAAATGTAGCATTGCATCAGTGTCTCAGCAATGGATGCTCTGCAGTGAATGGTGAGGAGATTTTCATATTTGTGTGACTGTACTTCTATAAACCTAACCTTCTTTTAAAGTGTCTTCACAATTTAGGTGTTAGTAGTTGGTTGATTTTATGGATTAAGGAATTTGTAAAAAAACAACCACAGCATGTTTGTATTAAAAATGTCATGTCTGACTGCTTGGTTTTAAATACTGGGGTACCCCAGGGATGTGTATTATCTCCAATATTATTCTCTGTATACATCAATGAACTGCAGTGTGATGATGATAATCTCTCCATCAGAGAGTATGCTGATGATATGACACTGGTTTCCTGCCAGAAAGAAATGAATAGCCCTTCATATTTTGAGTATATCAATAGCATTATTGGTTGGCTTGATAGTAGCTTTTTAATATCTTAATATTGGAAAGACAAAAGAGCTATGCTTGAGGAGTCAAACAAGAATAGTAGATACAAGCCCATGTAGATACAAGCCATATAAACCAGTCATTATAAAAGGAAAAATTGTAGAGCAGGTCTCGAATTTTACATATTTAGGAACAATTATTGATGATAAACTCAACTTTGAAAGTAATGTAGAGTCTGTCAAGTCAAGTCACCTTTATTTATATAGCGCTTTTAACAATACAGATTGTGCTTTCTAGTATTACAGATACAGCTTTACAGTATTAAATAGGAAAATAGTGTCAATAATGCAACAAAAAAAAGGAGGCAAGACAGCGCCTTGGTCTTAGAAAATTGAGGAGCTTTAATGTTAGTACACAGACTCTAACTATGGTATACAGTAGAGCCCGACCGATATGGGTTTTTTGGGGCCGATACTGATATTAGGGTATCGAGATATCGGCCGATATTCTTTGTGTATATTATAGTACAGTACCTCGCTTTTTCAGACCGATGAGTTTTGTAAAAATCGACGCGTTTCAGAAAGGTGGGGCATAGAGGAGAAATAATAATGTACAGTATGTGGAAAATAATGTGTTTTTTTAAACTTAAACCGCATAAACACATTTCATTACACCAAATACACAAAATAATGTTCTTTTTAGCAGCACCATATGACCCCTTTAAGCTTTAAAGCGCTTCATCCGGGTCACCAGTAGCAAATAATGGAGCTCTGCTGGACAAACTACGTAATAACACCCTTATTATATGAAAAAAAAATTTCATATCGGTGGCATATTCACCGATACCGATATATCTGCGACAGGCTCATATCGGCCGATAAAATCGGCAAAAAGATGTGTCAGTCGGGCTCTAGTATACAGGTCAATGATTGGGAGCATTCTCACATATAATGTCTCATGGTACGGTAATATAACAGTTAAACAGAAGAACAAACTTTCACAAATAATTAATCAGGCAAAAAAGATTTCTGGCTATAAACAACATTCACTTCAGGTCTTATTTGATTGTTTTATGGAAAAAACAGCAATTAGGATTTTAAAGATCATACTCATCCCCTCCACTCTACTCTTGAAATGCTTCCATCAGGCTTAAAACTCCTCTGGCCAGAAGAAATGCTTATAAAAAATCATTTGTTATTTTAAATCGGATTACTGTTTGAAGGAGATGCAAGAGAGTGGTTGGTAGTACAGTGTTTAATGGATTTAATGGAATAAATTGATTTTTAAAAAATATATATATATATTACTATGGATGATTCGTAACGTGTAAGGAATGATTGGGGTTGAGTCAGTTGCCTAAACTTGTGTAATTTTATGTTGTGCTGTTAATGTGTGATGTGTTTTTAAGTATTAAAGGGTTAGTTCACCCAAAAATTAAAATTAGCCCATAAATTACTCACCCTCAATGCATCCTATGTGTATATGACTTTCTTCTTTCAGATGAATCCAGTCAGAGTTATATTAGAAATTGTCTTTGATCTTTCAAGCTGTTTAATGCCACTCAGTGGGTGTTGCATGCATCAGTCCAAAAGCAGTTAAATAAAAAGCACCCATCCACGTCTCACACGGCTCCGGGGGGTGAACAAAGGCCTTCTGAACCGGCGCACGCATGGACTGATGCATGCAACACCCGCTGAGTGCCATTAAACAGCTTGAAAGATCAAAGACCATTTCTAATATAACTCCGACTGGATTCGTCTGAAAGAAGAAAGTCATATACACCTAGGATGCATTGAGGGCGAGTAATTTATGGGCTAATTTTCATTTTTTGGTAAACTAACCCTTTAATGTGGATGTATCTATGTCACCAGTGTCAAAGACAAATTTCCGCTCTGTGACAAGCAGAACGGACAATAAAGTTAAACTTAAATGCTCATGTGATATTTCTCACACACATTATGGTCAGTGTTGCTCTGTGTGTTTTCACATTTCTGGCCATGAGATCTGCAGTGCTGCTATGGCACACATATATGAGTCTATCTGACCAATTAGATCCTGCCAGCGTAAGAGCGTTTATTCCCGTGACGGCTCACTCACTTTAGTGGCGTAATTGGGTTTATCGATGGCTTCATCTCCGATGAAGAAGTCCAGGTCATCCACACCCTTCATCATCCTCCGCTGGGCCTGATCTCCCACCTTCGCCGACTCCTTGATGGCGATGCCTGACAGGAGAAAGGGATGATGGGAAGTGAGAGATGATCAGACTGCTGTCAATCAAAGAGAGGAAGTGAACACTGATACACGGACTCCAAACGAGACGCAAGCGCTGACGAGTGAGGACACAGCTTTAATATGGGGATGTTTGTAAGATGATTCTGCATCTTTTGACCAAAGAATTTCCTTCATGATCACTTACATATAATGCTTACAGTAAATACAATCATCTGACACAACAGTAGACTGAAATGCAAATGCGACTGAAATGGTCGCACTGTCGAGCCCTGACCCACTCACACACACTCTCTCTCTCACACACTCACACACACACACACTCTCACACACACTCACACTCTCTCTTTCACACACACTCACACACTCTCTCGCTCTCACACACACACACACACTCACACTCTCTCTCTCACACACTCACACACACTCTCTCGCTCTCACACACACTCACACACACACACACACACTCACATGAGGGAATGATGAACTGCGGCTCCGTGTTTCCTGCATATCCCAGTTTAGTGTACCTGGAACACAAAACACACACATTACTGCTCATATTCACAGATTACTCTGATATTCAGATCAGTGTGTTGATGATGGAAACAGACAGATACTGCAGAACTGTAAAAGTACCGATATCAAAATAAATCAAACCCTGCACAAACAATATTGGCTGATTATTACTGGCTTCTTCATTATGAGTGTTCAGAAATCAAACTCTACAGATTCATTTCTTTAAAATCACAACAACTCCGAACTGCTCCAATTCCTGAAGGATCAACCTCTCACATACTCAGAAGATGATTGCATTACTAGAAGCAAACATGCGAACCTTTGCATTGGAGAAAAAAGTATTTCCTTTAGTCTCTAAACGGAAGTTGTCATATTTAGCGCACATATGTGGCCTGAAACACACAAACACACACTCACTCAAACACACACACACACACTCATCACTCACACACACACCGAGTGCAGTGGATGTGTTCCTGTTTCTACATGACAAACTATTTGCACACTGTTGTTCTGTTCTGATCAGTTTAATTCAATCACTGAAACATCCGAACGAATCAAAACAGAACAAACGACTGACAGAAATAAAACATCATACAGAACGACTGCGGTTATAAAATTACAAATTTCGGTTTTTCACAGTTTAAATCTGTTTACTATTCGTCGATGAACAGCATCATATCTGAACACAGGTAATGGCTATGCAAGGATTTGGTGTTTTTCTCTGTTTGTCCATATAAGGCCGCCGCGAGAACACGGAAGCGGAGGAAGAGGAAGCAGAGGTGCGCATGCGCACAACTAAAGGCAACAGATTCAATCATTTCCCCGCTCTTCAAAGTCTTTTAGTTCTTAATTTTCGCCATTAATATAATAATGTAACGCGATCGGCTGCACATTAAATGTTATATGAGCGTTACATCGGGGCTCCTGGGAGCTCCGCCTCGCGCGTCAAGGCACAATCACCGCGCGTCAGATTGCAGGAGCGTCGCCGCTCAGATCCGCGCTGAGAAGCGAAGATAACATTACCGGAGCAGCGGAGGACAGACACACGGTTAACAGACGCAGGACACACACACGGTTAACAGACGGAAAACAAGCGTTCAGCGCGAGGACGGCGTCTCTGCAGGAGCGCGCGCGTATATCGCGCCGGTTTTCCCGCGCAGCGGCGGATCGCGTGAATCACTCCCCCTGTGCCACAATCCACGACGCATGCCGGTAACCGAGCGGCCATCTCGAGTGCGTTCCAGCGCCAGAGAGCTCCGGTGCAAGCGATCAGTCCGTCCGTTTGTGCGCGAGGCGGAACCCGGAAGCGCCAAGGGAAGCCTCTTTCCACTTCCGCATTCAAGCGCGCACCCTAGAGCGACCGCGAGCGTCACACGGGGCGGGGCTGCTGGTGGG